CCCCCGGGCGCGTCTCGCGAGACTTGCCGCCCCAGTCGGGAGGCGCTGCTGGCGAGGCCCGGCCATCCCCTATTGGCTGTGAGCCGCGCCCGGCAGGCCCGCCGCGGCGCTTCCGCTCCGTCGCCTATAGCAACGCGCACGCTTCCGCGCAGAGCCGCGCTACGGCCGCTTAGAGGGGCCAAAATTAGTGGAGAGCGGGGAGCGCAGCGGAAGAGCCCGAGACGCGGCCGCGAAGGGATCGCGCAGCACAGCCGAGCCGCGAAACGTCTCCGTTTTGTGGGAGAAAAGCAGCAGCCGAGCCCTCGCCTAGGATCAGCTGTCCCTGTTGGCACCTGCAGTCAGCGAGCTCCAGGGGCGGCGCTCCCCAGACCCAGAAAGCAGCAGCTTAGCACTAACCTTTGTCGTCTCCGCCAGCTCTGGACGGGCGGTGAACCGGGGCAGCGGGCAGCTTACTCACAGCTGAGTACGCTAGCACCTCGTCTTTAAATAATGTAAAGCTTCTGGTTTCTTACTCCCCCCCAGTTTAAAAAAAAAAAAAAAAAAAAAAAACTCTCAGACCTGTCTTTAACCACAAACCTGCTCCAGATAAGCACTCCACAGCTTTCCGCTATCCCTCAGCTACTGCAAAACTTGCAGAAGAGAATTACGATTACGGCACAGGATTTCAGTTCAGGTCGAAAGCAGCAGATCACCATTCTACTGTCAGTGAGCTCCGAGTTATGTTTAAACGCTGTATGTGTTACGAGGTCTCTTACGAACCTGTCTAGAAAGAGTACAGGAACATACATGGCAAAAAACATAGGAAGGTTTTCAAAGAACCAAAACGATAGCTTAAGCATCTTCACTTGCCCTTTTAAGTTAAATACAAAAAAAGTATATTTTAATCAAAACTGAACAGGCTAACAGATATCTGACTTCCCAGAAAAACTAATTTACATGATATTATTACTACAAAATACAGAATCCACAAAATAAGAACACACCTGGGTCCACATGGCATGATTTGCCTTTAAAGATGAAGTCTGGCAGTCACCATGCAAATTCATGGTCTCTAGCAAATATGTAGTGGGTGACTACAATTAAGCTTGAAAGTGTTTTAAGAGGTCCTATTTCTCTCCGAACTAGGACTGTTATGCCAGATGATATTTTACCCTGCGTTTTAACTCCATGCAAACTTCTAACAGTCATACTAACGTATATGGTGAAAGCATTGGCTATAGTTGCTGGGAAACAAAAGAAAGTTGCCTCACAATCTCGAAAGTAAAAGTTTAACAGTTCACAGTTTTCAAGCCACCTTTACAAACACCGGTAGCCAAAACCAGCATAATCCGCTGGAGACTTCACCTACGCTGTAGAAAAAGGTTCCCAAATTAATCACCCCTTCGAGGTCATTTGAAGGAGCACAACTTCAGGTTTTACATATATATATAAAATCTCCTCCCATAGTGCGGGATTTCCTTATATATTTGATTTGTACTGAAGTTTTAATTGGGCCATATACACTACAGAACAGTGTAGTACTCCATATTGTGAGGATTTACATGAGGAGTCAAAGGTCTATGAGGTTAACAGAAAGCCATACCAAGACAAGTGATTGTGTTTCTGCAGAACTCCAACTTCACGTGAGAAGATGGCTCTTAGAGTATTGCAACAAAAAAAACATGCACTACTTTGTTATTAGTCTGGGGATGCAAGGGTTGACCAACTCTTCTGAAGACAGTTCTACATCATTGTTATCAAAGCTTTCATTTTATATGCACAGACTACTGTTGGAAGAAATAACTCAAGTAGAGCATTTTCTAAATAACATTTTCAATATTGCATTGTAGCATCTCCCTGCATTTCAGATCTGTTACAGATTTGACTTGTGGGGCATGATTTGTCTTTCTTCCCCACAAGTCCTTCCGTATAACCCCAGTCAGCTTTATCAGTTTTAATAAACTATGAATGATGTTGTTATAGCTCTTCCCCCTACAGCAGAAGCTTTCATTACTTATTAGACAAAAGTTTTCTATTTGCACTGGGCTATTTCAAACAAAAGATGCTTTTCTGTGAAGACATTGTGCATTGATCTAGCAATGTATAGGACTACCATGTGACATTGGAGACACACACCCAGCTCCAGTTCTTGATTAACACACATTTGCACAACTTTATGTTCAAAGAACAACTCTGAAAGAGGTTTCTCTTAAGTCTATATTTATCTATTCAACAATTACAATAGATACTGAAGAGAATTCATTTTAAAACAGTAAACTTTTAAAATGCATTAACACAGGTTTTAGCTTTTTAAAGAAAAGAGTTCAATTTTTTAAAAAAAAGGGAGAGGTCATAGAAAAGCACAAACAATTCAGACAGGCTTATTTACAAGAGAAATCTAGCCTACTCAAGGTGATTTTGTGTACAGACAACATTCATAAAACCAAATGCATTACATGGCTCCATGACAACAGCAGTTTTTAGGGCAATCAACTGCTAAGGTAACACACACCTTAACTCAGTCTCCACAGTTTCAGTGCAATGAGTTGATATTTATGCCACAGCTAAATAACTAAAAACATAGGTAATTCCAGAACCCTATTTGACAGGTAATCTGACCTACGCAGCCAAATAAGCAAACAGGAGGTTCAGTGAGGCAACGGGCTCACCGTCTGCCCCCAATTCTGGGTATGCACCCTCAGCTATAATTATTCTTCATTCTTGTTCAGGTAATTATCCTCTTCTCACAAAAATCAGTAGTAACAAGTCTCCAAAAAGTGGGAGCTTTAGAAACTTCCATACTTGCTGTAGCCACAAATCACTAGTTCATTAACGACTGGTGAAGCAAACACAATTACAAGAATGCTACTCATACATTACAATACTGCTGTTTTTCGAGTTGGGGGACTTTATTTATGGGGCCCCTTAATTTGTTGAAGACACTGAATAAGCTCCACATGTCAAAGCTCAGGATCTTTCATATGAGATCAGCTGCAGGCCGCAGAACCATCAGCAGCGGAGCAAGACAGACACAGATCCACACCAGTTGCTAGAGTGACGCTTTCACTGATCAGGGAGCCAATTAAAAAAAAATAAAAAAAGTAAGCCAGTGAGCAAGACAACTTCTTTCTATTATCTTAATTATACATTAATTGTCAAAACTGTTCCCAAGGAAACCTTTTACAAGAATGAACAGCAGTTAAGTCTTCATTCATTTTTCTTTTCCTTGTGCTTGAGAAGTTTGTTTATCTCCCTTTTTGCCATTCCAATGTACTTTGTAATGATCCCATGCTGGTTTAGTCCAGGAAACAGCAGCAAGAAACTTACTAAAGAGAAAAAAACCCAAATAACTGGAATTACTCAATACTCCTTTAAAAAGCCCCTTTCACCTAGCAATTTCTTGCCTCCCTTAAGCCCCATTAACTGCTTAAAAATAGAAAAAGGAACCCCCACACAAAAACCCCATTCACACTCAAATAATCAAAACTAACTTCCACCAGCCTCACACCTATATAAGCAGGTAGCAAAAAAGTTATTTCTATTTTGCACACTGTAAACTTACCAATAAGATAGGTGAGAAAGAGGTTGTGAACTTGCTGTCCTATCCAGGCAACCACAACAAGAGAACAAAGCATGGTCATGAAGTACTAAAAAGTGAAAAGGAAACATTAACCAAGAATCTGTAGGTAATTCAACCCCTCCCCCTTCCCTCTCCTTCAGTATCTGGCAATATTTCAAAATTTAAAACCCTTGAGGTTCACTGCTTCTTTCACAAGCAATACTCATACATAGGCATGATAAAGTTACGAGATGACCCAATCTACAATTGTACTTTTTCCATTTATTTTCGGGTTCATCAGTTTTACACTATGTCAGTTCTTTGCTCTCCACATCTGCATTACAGAGCCAGACTGTGCTATCCCGGCTGATAAACTTCTGCTTAGCACAGTACCTGAAGCTGTGTTCAGGACAGTACACAGGCCTAAGCTGACATATTACTAAGGTCTAATTTTCCAGGCAGTCAGTGTACGCTGGAAACATCTATTTTAAAGGGCTCTTACAGACTGGTTTTCCAAGGACTTACCTATCCAAAGGGATCCAATTTATCTTTAGATACCTTCAAACCAAAGGTATGCTCTAAACCTGCAACACTGCAAGTCAGAAGTCGTGTAACTGCTATTCAAGATTTAAATAAGATGCGTGACTGGCATTAAGTCACAGCCAGAACTGTTGGTTCTTGGTACAAAATACTATTTTGTTCAGCTATAACCCTTGCTAAAACACTGAAAATTAAAAAGAAAGAGAGACAGCTTAAGACAACACAGAAGAACTCCTGGAACTCTGATACCATTTTTGGCTTCTCTTCCTTCAGCGTGAAGAGACGTCTCCACCAACCAACAATTCTGCGACGAGTTTTTACCAGATTGCTGCAAATTTCATGAAATCTTTGCTGCTGCTCAGTAGTCCTTTCATTGGAGAGGGGGAGGAAAAATAAGACAGAGAGAGATAAGAATTCAATTTTCATATGAAACTTTATCCTGTACTATTTTTCTAGCAGAAGAAATTCATCTAGTATTTGTCACATTTGCTTTGCTTAGTTTAATATTTTACTGAGCATTGTAATACAATGTCTGTGTAATTTTAATCTATTTTAGCTTTTTCTCTGCACACTGAATCTCTCAAATCCCCAAAGAGCAATCCTGTTAATGCAGAAGACCACTGATTTTAATCTTTATCTGTCACCAGTCTGTACTATACCGGCTCTTATGCTGGTACATTATCAAGCAAGAACATCTACTCAGCAGTCAATTTAGAACAGATGTACTAACATTTATTTTTGATTCAATATGCAGTTCAAATAAGAGTCTCCTCTACTTCCCATTTTTATATGAGCCTTGCCTTTCTCCCAATTTGTTTCAAACGCTTGCAACCACATCTGTAAAGAGTATATGCATTAATCTTTACCTTCATCAATATTTACAGCTACCACTCTTTCTAAATATATGATAAAATCATGAGAAAGATAATTGCATTTGCCAGTATCTAATACTTCTTATTTGGTAAAAACTAGTTTAGTAGAACTAAATAGCATCCTTAATGTAGAGCAGAAAAAGTGCACATTCCCACAAAAATCTTATTTTGCTGGAAGAAAATGACCAGTAAAGATATGTTGTAGTAGTGGTCCTTCAGAAACAGAGGAAGGCAGCACATCTTACTTCACATACAGAGATTGCCAGCTTCTCACTACAATGCCTTTGTATAGGAGGGTCAACTATCCATTTGGTTTAAGTTCATAGTTTCTACATACTCAAGAAACTATTTCAGTTTGAACTTTCCTCACCACTTATTAGAGCCAAAGATTCTAGGGGCGAGAGCAGGAACAAGGTAATCAGCCAAACAGAGGAACATAACAAAACAGGAAACGCCTGAAAGAACAGATGGATCCAAGTAGTAGATCATCCTGTAGAAAGAAAACAATGGAAATGATTTCTGGATGCTCAGTCTACTAAATACTTGACATATTTAGCCATCTCTTCAAATTGGCTCAAAATTGGAAACAGTAACCCTACCCTCTTGCCCACGCGCAAAAATCTTCCCCCCCCCTTCAAATTTGCTCTTATTACTACTAAATATTTCACTGAATCTGTATTTGCTTTAATATTACTGATCAAACTACTAGTTTCTTAACATACTAGGTAAGAAAATGCTAGAATATAGCATAGTATGAAATACACTAGATCTCAAAATTCATTATTGCTCTCCCAGAAGTCAAGACCCAGCAAACATTACACTGGCTGAGGTGGGGAGAGTGAGGGGTGCAAGACCGTTTGTGAGCATGTGAAGTAACCAGGTAGGGTGAAAGCTCTAACCTTGTTGGGAGCTGTAAGCCTCCAATTGTGTTGTGCTCTGACATACTAACTTTGCATTTTTGACTCAAATGCAACTGTATCAGTTCTAGACAAGAACTAGCTTATCTCATGAGTGTCTTTTAATACTTAACTGCACCCTGTGTTATTTATTTGCACTTAGCAGCTCTTCCCCAACACTAAAGCAATAGAAGTACAGAGGTGACAGTCCACTGCAGGCCCAATCTTTCTATACATCAGGCACAGTGCTACATGCTGAATGCTCCAGTTCATGTTTGATGAAGTACCAATTCCAAATTCAGGATTTGCAGTAGCTCTACTTCCTCATAGTATTATTGAGCATAGTATCTTTCCTGCTATAATTACAGACAATTTATTAGTGAATGTCCTGAAGTTCACGCAGTCACACTTCTGAAGTTACTTTTCAGCCTCATTTGATTTCTACCCTTCTCACCTCCCTTGAGAACCATAAGCTTTACTCAGAGTAGCCAGAAGACAGTTTATCCCTACCTCACCTAGCTCAACATTTATGATAACTGCCCTCTTTTCTTCACTCCAAGAAAACATGCAGCTGGCAAACCTCACAACAGGTGTAGACGCTTATCTGTATAAGGCTTGTAGGGGTCATCTTGGCTGCTACAGCATTACATAAAAGCACATACAAGCGCCTCCAGCAATGCAGTTCAGTATCTCTAACCCAGAGAGGGTTAACATTCTTCCACCCTGTTGACTAAAAATTACCTACAGTCTTTCCTTCTCCCCTCCTGCTCTCTTTTTAATGAGTGCAAGAGCCAGTCTGAAAGTACCAGTTGTGTGAAGATGACTGAATTCCGCCTAAACACCATGCCAAAAGTGCAAAATTGCTAACATTTCAGAGAAGTTGGCCCAATGGGAACAAGCTTTCTGTCATAACTTAAGACCATAATAGCATTGCTGTTGGCTTAGGGAAAAAAGCCACAGAAGATAACCAGATCTGACTAAGTAGCATACAAAGGGTGAGGGTTAAATACGTATAAAAAAAAGGGAACAGCATACAGCTGAAGGTGCTAAGAAGCTACAGCAGTCATCCCTGACAAACTTTTCCAGAAAACATCACCTCTCCCCTCACCCCCAGCACTTTTTTTTTTTTTTTTTTTTTTAAGAAGTCTATAGCTAAGACGTTGAAAGGAAGTACAAGATCTGAGTGGGATGAGAGAGGTGTTAGTTCTTGTTCCCAGTTCTTTTTTTCTTTTCAAGAAAGTTAACATGCATTAAGGAACAGAACTTGGAGTAAGAAAGCTTCCCATTAGGTTTTTAAAGAAAACGTCTTAGTAGTTTTCTTAACACTTCTGCCACTAGCCATGAGAGCACAATGCTGGTCTATGCTCCATGAGCTACTTACAGGAAAGAGAAGGAAACAACACTCATCAGTGCAAGAGGAAACCAGGCTCTCTCCCAGCGAAGAACTTTATCAGTCATCAAAATCACTTCTCCCCATCCTTGCAATTGCTCTTCTAAGCTAGCAGTTTCTGCAGCCTACACAAGAAGAGAGAAGAAAACTTGTTATTACTAACCAGAATATCACACTAGCTCCTGTATGTGAAGTATCTAAAGAGCATATATTAAATAAAGACTGCAGTCACAAATCCTTCTGTGTATTTACATTGCTAATGATGTTGTAAATTGCCTACCATATGATGACACTGTAGCAGTGACACTTTAGCATAAAGTCAAGACTCCAGCAAAGTAGCAGCAACTCTCAACTCAGTATATTAATTGGTACAAAGACTGAGGCAACTCTCCAGTTCACTTTATGCACTTTGCTATATATATTTTCCAATGATTGTTTAACCATATGCATGTTCCCATTCTTCCTCTCCTTCAAAGCCTTTTTTTTTTTAAAAAGAATTACAAAACCTGTTAATATAGAGCCTAACAAAAAGTATTCTTCTATAAAGCACTTATGTCATATCCCAAATTGTCTATTTCAGTTTTCCACAATTCAGTTTCCACAAGTTGCCCAAGACTGTGACAAGGGGACCTTTACACTCCTTCCTACACCAGCAACGGCATCACATTATGCAATTGCTCTCAGCATATCTTTTGGATCTGCTCCAGCATAAGCTGGCTGAGCAGCTGGCCCGAGGAGTGCCAAATTTACTAGTTTGCCCTCAGCGGGACAAGAGATCTCAGATTACAAAACTCAAGTAACCACAAACAGAACAGACTACTTCCTACATAGCAAGAGGTTAAAAGTCATCAAGATCTGCACATCTGCCGTGCAGAGATGTCACAGCAGGTTTAATTCTCCAGTGGATGACACACTTACCTCAAATGAGAAACCTGACACCATTTCCCAGGATAACAGAGAGAGCTGCATGCAGCTACCATGGTAAAGCACAGTTCTCTTATACAATACCATTGTAAGCTATTTTAAAACTACACTTACAGACAAAATAGAGTGGATAGCTATCTACCTGATATGCCTTCGAGTTATCACATCTATTTCATGTTTTATAGAATATAAACCCCCATAAAAATGGAAAAAAAAAAAAAGCTGCATTTCTCCAGAAAGCATTTTACAACAAACTGTTTTTCTTTATTACTTCCAGCTGTCTGCCACTAACAACACAGTCAAAAGAAAATTTAATGGGAAACAGTTTGGAATATAACACAGCTGGTAGTAGCAGTCTGCCTCTGTCAGCCTATGAGTACTGTAACTTGTTTGCCCACAGGGCCAGGTAGAAAAAACTTACTATGTCAGTTTTGTCAACAGCAACACTATTTAATTCCAAAACACGTCCACCAAAAGTGATTTGTCATTAACCAAAGAACATTAAGTTTCCAGAAATATGAACTTCCATTCTGAAGGGGGCATCTCTCTAGACCATAGAACATGTTTTTGGCAACATAGATCTGTTTCTTTTTCCTTCTGAAATTTAAAGTTTCTTTCCACTTCTAAGCTACTGAAAGAAAGCATCAGTTCTGATTCCCTCAGTATCTCCTAACTGTCCAGCTTCCTGTTCAAAAAAACATTAGTAGGCACTCCACTCAAAAGTCTCCTTTCTTCCACCCCTTCAGCCCCACGCTTTTACAGCGGTCTCCCCAGCACCCGTTGTTCATCCATAACAGAGACGGACACAGTCACACCCTTGGCCAAGGCCACCTTTTACGTGCTTTAGTTACATTAATTATCCAGCTCCTGTCACTATCTTCCTGCACCTTTTAAACATCTAAAACATAGCCAAAGTATGTCGAAACATAAAGATATGAACGTTAAACGTAAGCCTTGCACATCAGGTAAAGCGAGGCATTATTACGAGGCTGGGAGCAGCACAGCAGCAGCAGTGCCGTTTCTAAGCGCGGCGCAGAGCTGCCCTAGTCGAACTCAGGCTCCGCCAGGCCCGAGTCCATCCACGCACGGCAGCGGCAAGGCGAGCGCGGAGCTCACACCGCTAAGGCG